GTGGATCTGTGCTTCCTGGTTTGAGGCTAGGAGATAAGGGCTGAGTCTCAGGAAGAGATGGCAAGGAAAGCTGGACCACAGGGTGCCGTACCAGGAGGGCACCCTGATTCTAGACACGTGGCAGATTGGACATTTTGAAACAAAGACCAAAGCTGGTGTTGTTGTTGGGGGGGTCAAACCCTACAAGACTACTGGGGCTTCAAAACAAAGCAAACACAGATTCCAGGGTGCCAGAAGTTTGTGCTGCTCATGAGGCTTGTCGAATCACCCCTGGCCTCCTGTCATTAGGGTGGGTCCTGGGGACATGGGAACCACAGCGGCCTTCAGGATGAAAGGAAGGAGGACAGAGAAGCAGAGGGGTCCTTTGGCCAGACACCAAATGCCGGAATTTGGCATCAGCTGCCTGAGTCGCTTCCTCCCACACACTGACCTCATTGAAAGGCAGAGGCAGAGCTGCCTTCAGAAAGCTGCTCTGAAAATGCCAGTAGCTCCTGTTTCCATTTACCTTCAGATGCTCAAAACCAGCCTTGCATATTCTCAACGCAAATCTCTACCACGTCACTGTAATCGCTAATATCTCGGAGTGTTGGCATCGTGAGTCACTAATGGTGTTTGCCGGTTTCCTTTCATCACCGGGTGAAAAGCATCTGTCAAAAGAACCAAACCTCTGACTTGAAGCAACATGTCTTTCAGCTTCATGCTCGCCTAGCTTACATCCTCTGTTCATCCGATTGACTGCTAAGAGTCTGACACTGACAGTTTTTAATAAAGAATCTGAGTGAGCCGCGTGGAACTCCCGATATTTGGATGCATCCATTTCCTATGGGCCAGCCTGAACGATCACACTGTCCCCTCCTCCTCCCTTCCGTGAGTTAAGCAGGAAACAAAGTGGTCAGCTCCATCAGAAGAGCTAACACACCCAAAGAAGCAGCTGCTGCCTGCTGGTGCCCCTCAGCCAGTTGCCCTGTCTGTGTGTCCACCCTCAGGGACCCAGGACCTGTTTATACTCCTCCATTATGGAGACACTGCTGTTAGGCCCTGGGTACCAGAGCTTCAGTTCAAGTAAGCCACTCAGGGTTTCTTTTGCTGAGATAAAACACCATGGCCAAAAGCAACATGGGAAGAAAGGGGTTAATTCAGCTCAAAGTTCCAGGGAACAGTCAGTCCCTGAGGGAAGTTGGGGCAGGAGCTTGGAGGCAGAAGCTGAGGCAGAGGAGGTCATGGAGGATGCTGCTTACTGGCTTATTCCCCAAGATTTGCCCAGCCTGATTTTTATATGCCCCAGGATCACCTACTCAGGGATGGTGTTACCTACAAAGCCCCTCCCCACACACGCCAATCACTAATGTAGAAGAGGCACAGTAGGCTTGCCCACAGGCCAATCTGGTGGGGGCCATTCCTCTTTTTTTTTATTTTTTCTCCTTTTCTCTTTTTCTCAACTGATTTCAACTTGTGTCAAGTTGGCATAAAGCTAGGCAGCGCAGACATTTTCTCTGGTTTATTCCCTTTAGAGCCATTTTTCCCCAACATGTAGCTAAATCTATAGATGTGGAGGTAAGTTTAAGTGGTTGCCACCACTTCGAGGGTTTTTCCGTGTGACTGGGCTACAGAAGCTCACGCGCTCTCAAGCACCTGCCGGCCCATAGATGGGAGCAGAGGGGCAGCCACCACCAGCATCTCTACTCCATTCACCGTTGCTGAGAAGGCAGGCTGTGGGTGTAGCAATGCAGACACAGGCTCCCTGCGTATCCTAACGTTGCTTCTGAAGCCCTAAGTGAGGCAGACGATTAGGTGAGAAGCTCCGTTGTCTCTTTGGTGCTTCTTTTTCATCTTCCATCGGTGTCTTAAATTCGTCACCATGCTCTTCGGCAAAGCTCGTTTCTGCCATCTAATATATTCTTTTGAACCTCTCAAGTCTGTGATGTCATCGTGACCCAGGTTCTCGCACGCCTGGCCTGGCTGAATTGGAAACTGCTCTATCCTAGTGATGCTCTGTGTGCCGTCTAATTCCTTGCGACCATGAATGACTGGGAGAGAATGAGAGTGCCTCCAACACGTAGGCGGCTGACGAATGGCGCCATGTGCCGATTAGCAAAGGGAGAGAGACACAGGAGAAATACTGTACAAGGGAGCCCTGGCTCGGTTTGCTGCCGTTCCATGCTGGACCAATAAGCTGGAGAGGTAGGCCTGCAACAACAGCTAGCAAGAGTCTCCTAAAGTGGTTACAGGAAGTTAAAAATTAAATGAATTAATAAAAATTAAATTAAAAAATTGATCATTAGATCCCCAGGTTGGGAGTCTGTGTTAGATGGGCATTAATGATTCCGAGTAGCAGCCCTGCATGGGACAAAAGATCTCTGTCAATCCTGCTAGGCTTTCTCTGTGGAAAGTGCTTTCTTAGATCTCCGGTGATGCAGCCTAACAGCCTAACAGACATAAGCAGCTCTGGGTTCTGCAAACTGTGTTTCTTCTGGGGCCACTCACCGAGTTTCCCCAGCTATTGGGCTATTGTCCAGACATAACATTGTATCCACATTCCCAAAGTCTGCACAAAAGTTATGCTTGATTAAAAAAAAAATTCCTTGAGAATTTTATACAGTATACCCCCAACTCCTTCCGGATCCTTCCCCACTTCCCTGCCCATCTGTCTGATCTATGCCATGCTTCTTAATATGCCTTTCTGAGATTCCCCACCTCTGGGACTAATAATTTGGTAACTAGGGGTCTTCTTAAGAAGGCGCAGAGCGTGGGAGAGGTGCTTATGTTATGTGAACCTGTTGCACAGATAGTGGTGTTTGTGGAATGCCAGGTACAGTGATGGGCGTGGTACACACCCAAGAAATGGTGCTGTGGTGGGCGTGGTACACAGCCAAGAAATGGTGCTGTGATGGGCATGGTACACAGCCAACAGATGATCCTGTGATGGGTGTGGTACACAGCCAACAGATGATCCTGTGATGGGCATGGTACACAGCCAACAGATGATCCTGTGATGGGCATGGTACACAGCCAACAGATGATCCTGTGATGGGTGTGGTACACACCCAACAGATGATCCTGTGATGGGCGTGGTACACACTCAACAAATGATCCTGTGATGGGCATGGTACACAGCCAACAGATGATCCTGTGATGGGCGTGGTACACACTCAACAAATGATCCTGTGATGGGCGTGGTACACACCCAACAAATATGCTTCTAACTTTATTATGAGTTGTGTTTATTGGTATGAGTGACTTAGCGTCCTTGCCAGATTTGTGTCCTCTAATGTGCCTCACTCCCAACAAATACTCATTTAGGGGATTCACTACATCATTATGTATAGTATATCGTTATAATCAATAACTAGAAAATGAATAGACCAGTAGACCATCACTAATTTGTGTCATTTTAACGATACCCATATGTAGGGCCTGCCTATCTGTAGCAGAGGCTGTTGGTCAACCATGATGCCATGATACTCACACAGGTCCGTCTTGCCACATTGGGCCAGGCTGGTGCCATGACTATTCCCACCTGCAAACTCTAGAGACCAACTCCAAATAGAGCTTGCCACTAAAGCCCTTCTGGAGTAAGCTTGCTTACAGACCTTCTAGAAAACACATTCTGCCATAGAGTAGGTAGAGGGAAGTTGGCTTTGGTCCATGATTTACCTTTCCTGTGTTCATAAAGAATTTGTTTTGTGTTATATAAGCAGTGCTTTCCTGAAAAGCCAACTGTTTCTACATCGATGCATTTGGCCACCTAATCCTCTATATGTAGCCTCTTCCTACACTGTGGTGGTAATAGAATAGCCATGATCTGATGAATCTTGATATGAGACTGTGCGGGATGTCTGACTTAAGGTGTGTGTGTGTGTGTGTGAGTGTGTGAGTGTGTGTGTGTGAGTGTGTGTGTTATGAGTGTGTGTGAGTGTGTGTGAGTGTGTGTGAGTGTGTGTTATGAGTGTGTGTGAGTGTGTGAGTGTGTGTGTGAGAGTGTGTGAGTGTGTGTGTGTGAGTGTGTGTGTGTGAGTGTATGTGGTGTGTGTGAGTGTGTGTGTGAGTGTGTGTGTGAGTGTGTGTGTGAGTGTGTGTGTTATGAGTGTGTGTTATGAGTGTGTGTGAGTCTGTGTGTGAGTGTGTGAGTGTGAGTGTGTGTGTGTGAGTGTGTGGTGTGTGTGTGTGAGTGTGTGAGTGTGAGTGTGTGTGTGTGTGGGACTCTTTTGAGTTCCCTCCTCTCTCACTCCACTGTGAGTAACTGAGCCTGAGATAGGATGTACCTTTCCCCAGAGCATATCTTCACTTTCCCTGGTGGTAGCTACTTTGTAGCTGTCAGCAGCAAATGTTTCAAGGCTTTTTTGTTCATTTGTTTGTTGAGACAGGACCACCGGCTCAGAAATGTGACAGTCTGATCAGATAGAACATGTGCTCTAGCTCATTCCTCAACCAAAGGCAACATTCTGAGTTTAGGATTAGGTGTGACAATGAGGAGAGGCAGAGCCCCAGGCCGTCTGGGCAATGGTCTTCTTAGCTGCCTAAGAGTGCAGTCCTCCCAAACAAGTGTAGGAAGCTTGAGCAGAGAAATGCAGCCATAGTGTTTGTGCACACATGTCTATGAAACACCCAGCCCGAAGCTCCCTGGAGGGCAGAGGTTCTTAGCTACCCCAGCATCTATGGAACAAGTAGTTAACCAGGGCTTGTGTACTAGAGAGCACAGACTGAGGGAAATCATGTTTGACAACCTTCCTGCTGCATGGGAGATGCATTTGGTTGCTATTCTTAGGTTCCCCAAGTTACAAATGCTGCATGCACTGATGAATGTGTCCACGATACTTTGCTGTATGGCCTCTAACTACAGACATTCTTCCTCAAGAGGCACTGTGGGAGGAACCCATCGGAGTTTACACGTGTCAAAGAAGAAAGTCTCATTTTCAAATACGAGATGTACATCTACTCTGATGACAATGTACCCTGCTTTGTGTCGATAAACTAACAGCTTTCCTTTTCACACAAACCAGTGCTTTTGGATGCCCATATTCAGACATGAACTTGAGGAGGGAGGCAGCACTTCAGGTCCGCCCGAGAGAACAGACACAGACATATTTGGAATCATATTCTTCACATTCCACCTTGGAAAACCTCCACAATTTGAATTTCAATGGAAAATGTGAAGAAATGAGCAGTCAATCCAGGTAAGAAACTTTGAGGACTTGAACCAGAAAGCAAACCATGTGGAATTCCAATGGGGCAAATGTATACTGGTGTGAGTTCACCAAGATAATTCTCCTGCCTATTGCCATACTTAGTATCTCACAGAGTTAACCTGCTCCTCCGCCCAAACACTTCTGAATGTGGAGACCGCACATAAGCAACAGAAAGCACATCTCAAATGACCAGTCCTAAAAGATGCCTTTTATCTTGCAAACATTTTTGTTCTTAGGACTTATTTCATCCGTGAAACCCTTTGGCATGAGCTGAGAATTTATACCCCCAGAGTCACATCAAGCTGTCCGCTCAGACCGGTTGCTTGTCAGTCACCTTTGAGCCACACCTGTCTGAGATACAAGTTCTGTCTCTCCTTACTCTCCGTCCCTACTCGCTGCTCACTTGTTACCTTTTCTATCCTAAATATACATTTACAAGTCTCAGCAGAAAATTCTACCTTTTACTTATGCAATTGTTTTCTGAGGTGCTTCAAATACAACCTGATTTGACTATTTTTTTTTTTTTTTTTTTTTTGTAAAACTCAAAACAAGCAATCTAAATACTAACATGTTTTCTTCAAAGTACCCCATGGTTCCCTCAAGTGCAAACACAGAAAAGTCAAACATTTGGTGTGTAACTGAAAAGCATTTTAGAGCAGTGGTTCTTAACTTATAGGTCTGTACCCCTTTGGGAGTTGAACAACCCTTCCATGGGGGTTGCATATTAGATAATGTGCATATCATATATTTATACTATGACTCAAAAACAAAATTATAGTTATAAAGTAGCAAAGAAAATAATTTTATGGTCGAGGGTCACCACAACATGGGAACCAAGTTAAAGGGCCACAGAATTAGGAAGGTTGAGAACCACTGCCCTAGAGAAAAGTGGCAACTGAGTGTTTTCTAAACCCCACATCAGGCTGTGAGAACCTACCCTTGCCATCTGTGATTGACAGAAGAATCTATTCCTGGTCTCAACCTTCAGAATGAAGCTGGGAATTTACCCAGTGGGTGGAGTTCACTTAGAAAGCTGGGCCCATTCACGTCGCAAGCCCCGGGTTTATGCGTGTTCACTGGGAGAACTGAGCTCACTGCACACACTCTCACATGCCTGTTTCATGGCTGGACTACAGATTTGTCCTGTTTGCTTACCAGCGGTTTAGAACACGTGCAGGACATTTCATTTTTGTTAAATGCTGTTTTGGTTTCAGTGGCTCAGCATGCAATCACAACCCGGTCTCCTCTTAGATGCATGACCCTTCTGTATGTGCAGGCACGCCTCTATTTCTGTCGCCATGCTTGAGTTTTTATTATTTACTGACACCCACTCCCCCGTTGAATCTTCACAGGGTCTGGTTGTTCTTTGCTGCTCGCTCACACCCACAGTGTTTACAACATTGAGTAGTTGAGAGCCTGTGTGTTCCTCCTCCTCCCGGATTGAAGTAGCGCACCCTCCCCCACCCCCCCAGATTGAAGGAGCCCCACCCATTTCCTTTTTAAATGATTTCCTCCAGGAACACATGCATCCATGTGATTTCTTTCTTTTTGATGCATTCTGTTGTATTTTTCCTAAGCAAAAGTTCACCTGGTCTCTCCTGTAAATATTTTAGACTTTCATATTCAATGCCACAAGTCACAGAGACTAAGCAGGCCTCTGAACTGCATTTGGAAATTCTCGTATCATCTGTGAGGCTAGCTAAACCAGCTTCTCCCTCCATCCCTTACCCCCCCCCCCCAGCAAACACAGGTATCTTGTCATCCCATCTCAAACTCCTCATGGGGATTTTCCTCTGCTGACATTTAATCGGGCCCCTCACTATTTCTGAGGGGATTTGCAATTAAGTATAACGAGCAGAACAGTTAGCGCAGAGAGAAAGAACAGAAAATCCTTAGCTAAGTACTCAATGCAAACCTTGGCTAATGCAAAAGTCTCAAGTGACCCTTGATGGGGGATGTCCTTCTGTGTATATATATTCTTCGTATTGGTTGATAAAAAAAAACAAAAACACTGATTGGCCAGCAGTAGCCAGGTAGGAAGGATGGGTGGGTCTAGGCGGAGAGGAGAATGCTGGGTAGGGGCAGGCACACCACGGAGCTGAGCTGAGGAAGGAATAACAGACCCTAGTTCATCAAATCCTATTTTGTGTCCATTCCGGGCTGTGGAAGCAGCTGCAGGAAGTGGGTGACATCATTTGGGGCTCATCCCTTCAGGTCAGGCAATCGTCAGACTACCACTGGCAATCCCAGGATTGGCATCACGGTTACTATACACACAGTCACATGTGAGCGTATATAGTACATATTAATTATATTAATCTTTACAGTGAGGTCACTGGTAGTATATTTATGACGCTGTTACTTGCCTCGGTAGTAGAAAGTTTATTTATGGTCACATATATATTAAAGGGTCACATTTTAAAAAGGATATGCACTCCCAATGTCCGTAAGATTTACCTTTAGAAACTCACATAGGCGTGTTGCGTTTACCTTTAAGACTCAGACCCACAGTATCATCATAGGTAGCAACTATTGAAAGTGCATATTTACTTTATATGAAGTATGTACACTTGTTTCAGTTTAAAGGAAATATTTATATTTTTTTATTCATGTTTTTTCCGGGTAAGTAGTATTATATTCACGGTGCATTGAGTGGAGACAAACTGCTTGGTGTAAATCTTTCACTTAGGTCTTACTCACTACATGGGCTGGATGGAAGCAGTGTTAACGCACGTAACCGTTGATAGTTTCTTATAGTTTTAACGCTTTGGGCAAAACGGAGACCATTGTCATTACCGCAGTGAGGATGCTGTGTTTAGAGAGTAGAGACCTCTTGGCTGTTGATCTGGGACCCAAACCTATGTCATCCGATTGCAGCCAGCATGTTTCTGTCTAGTGAACTAAAAACAGGATGTATCGACAATTGCTATTGTCTTGGTATTAAAGTCACCTGCTCTCTTCAAGCTAAACATCTTGTTAATTTCATCGTATCATTAGGAAAGCCCTGGCATTGGTATTTTTCTTATTCTGTTTTTTTTTTTTTCTTTCATTACATTGGCAACTGAAGGTTCAGAAAGTACAGGCAAAAGTCTTTGAAATGACACAGGGCCCCCAGTAGAGAGGTTGGGGTTTGCGTACATAAATCCCTGGTTTCAGATCCTAAGTGTGTTCAGTTACAGCCTAAGAGCGGACAGGCTTTGAAAAGGCCTGGCTGGGAATCCTCTGCCTGATTTTTATACTACCAGCTATAGGTTTTAGGGCCATATATGATAGAAACGTTTCTAATTTGTAAAAGCAAAACTCCCCTGGGGAGACTTCTGCTATGAGTCCCTCCTATCTGTGGAGCACACAATGCAGACCCCCACCTTAGCACAAGTCACTCTAATATACTAAAGGCAGGGTAGTACAATTAGAACAATCAGCCGTCTTCATGGCGTACGCGATCCCTATGGCATGCAGCTCCCCCTGCATTCCCTGCCAGCTCTTCACCTCAAGTCTGAGGAAAGCATTTTTTTTTTTTTTCAGGTTTTTCTCATAACTCCCTTTGCCTCCCCGAAGCAGCATTCGCCAAAGCATTAAATTCGCACAGTTGACCACACCGGAATTCCTGTCATTTTTCAGCCAGTACTACTAATTATTTTGTTTTTAATTTAGGAAGCTGAGAAAAGGCCACATTGTTTTCCCCGATGCCTGCCACTCCATCCATTTATGTGCTCCTCGAAGGTCTGTGTTGGTAATAGAAAGGAGCCCGGGAAATTGCGATCATCAGCAAACGGCACGCGATGGAATTGTCTCCTAATGACTGTGATAATAAATCGCACTGCCATGAACCAACTAGTTTCTTTCCGCCTCTCAAATTAGCCATGAGGCAGCGTACCTTCTATGGGGCCATGGCCCAAAACATAACAGTTAGTTTTTCCACATATTAACCTTCCCTGTTCGTCCATAGGTTTCCTTTAATGGACCAGGCTTCCTTTTAGCTTGGGGCGAGCTGCAGGTGTCCCCACTCCTCCACCCCTCCCCCCACCCCCATCAGTCAGTTTTGCTTGTTTTCCTGCATTAGGCATCTACTCCTACCCTCCCTCCGCTGCACATTGCCTTTTGCCCACAGCTCCTCCCTAGTCCGTGCACCTTTTCTGGGCAGCTCCAGCCAATGTGAAGAGAGGAGGTTGCGTTTTATGCTCCTGTGTTTCTGTCACCTAGAAAACCATCTGGCCCTTAGTAGGCACTTGGCAAATGATGTAGACTTAACAGCTAACACATGCCTGAGACTTGGTGGTCTTGGAAGCCAGAGTCAGGGAAGAGGCAGCAGCTCCTCACCTGTCCTCAGCCCCTGGCCCTTTTGCTCTGGGTCACCCTTGAGTACCTCTTGTGTGTGTCTATATGTATCTGTGAATTTCCCACCTGGTCCCGCAGCCAACCAGCCCCAAATAAACACACAAAGACTTACGTTAATTTGTAAACTGTTGGCTGGTGTCTGGGGCTTCTTATTGGCTAGCTCTCTCTTAATCATTAACCCATAACTACTAACCTATGTATTTCGACATGGCCGTATCTTACCAGAGAACGTCTGTCTCATCCTACCTTCCCAGTCTCTCCATGGCGTCCCCTCTGGCGGCTTCTCTCCGAGTCTCTCCCCAGAATTCTCCTCCTCCGGTAGCCCTGCCTATACTTCCGGCCTGGCTATTGGCCAATGAGTGCTTTATTCATCAACCAATAGGAGGAACATGTGTACAGAAGAACACCTCCATCGCACCTGTCCGGTGCATTTCTGCATGTGCCTTTTGTTCTTCAGGGAGCTACAGATGCCAAGCGGGAGAGCGGGTGCTCTCCTCTTCCGGTTTGGTTTCTTCAGTGCCTCTGAGTTCACGCGGTCAGCTACTGACATTCATGTTCCTCTCATAGTCTCCGCTGCCGTAAAACGGATGCAAATGTGAGAGAGCTCACATATTTGCACTTTGATTTAGGGCATATATTGACACATATAA